CTCTTCCCCTGTCGACCTCTGCCGCAAAATCTCAAGAAGGGTATATTAGGACTGGAAGAGGTTTAGGCGAGAGAAATAAGGATGGTCAATCAGGGAATCAGGCTGGGGCGGACCTCAGGAGGTCTCATTGCAGGATCAGCTTTGGGATCAGACAGCATTGCTCAGGGCTTTTCCAGTCTGGTCTTGAAAACCACCAAGGCTGGAGAGTGCACAGCTTCTCTCAGCAACGTATTTCATTTTATTTCGTGAAAAATTTCTCCCTTGTAGGCAATCAGAACCTTTCTTGTTTCAGTTCACAACTACTATCAGCTGTCCTCCCACTGTATGCTGCTGCAAAAATCCTCACAGGGGAAGTGTTCACAGCCCCCCCAGCTACGTTGGTAGCCCTCTGCTAAACTTGTTCTAGTTTATCAATATCTTTCTGTCATTGAGAGGGCCAAAACTGGACATGGTATTCCAGATATGGGCTAAGAAGTGCAGAGTAAAAGGGTATAATCACTTTCCTTGGTGCACTGCTGTATTCCTGTTGGTACAGCCCAGGGTGCTGATGGCCTTTGCTGCTCAGGCACATGGCTGTCTTATGTCCAGTTTGCTGTCTGCCAAGACCCTGAGGTCCTTGTCCACAGAGCTGTTCCCTGACTAGCTGGTCTCCAGCCTGTGTTGGTGCAGGGATTTATTCCTCTGCCAGGGGCAGGTCTTTGCATTTGTCCATGTTGAATTTTGAGTATACTGTTAGCCCAGTCCTCCAGACTGTCAATAGTAGTCTTGCCCTTGATGTCATCAGGCAATCTCCTTCCTAATTTGGTGTCATCTGCACACTTGACAGGAGCACACTTTCTCAGCCCCTCTGGCTATCTGATAAAGATGGGACACTGGACATGTTCCAGTTAGATTTCTGTCGTACTCCTTCATCCCCAGCCTCCAGGTAGGGGATGATCCATTAACTGCTACACTCTGAGCCCAACAGTTCAACCACTTGTCCACCCATCTAGTTATCTACCCATCCAGATCACAACTTCCCAACTTGGATACAAGAATACTTTGGGAGACTGTTGACAACCTTGCTAAAGTCAAGATAAATGACATACATTGCTCTGCCCTCATTCACAAATCCAGTCATTTTGCTAGACTTTTTTGGGGTGACTTGACAAAATGTATGTGCTTGGATACACAATCAAATCGTGCCCTCATAATTGATGCTGCAGCAACAGAAAGGAATAAATAAGGTTCTTCTACAAAAAAAATGACCAAAAAGGAAAAAGCTGCTGAATATCTAATATTCTTGAGAAGTGCAAACAACTTGGAAAGTCTTAATCTAGGCAATTAAATTTATAAAATTATTTTATATTAAAAATCACAGACTTAATAATTGGGGTGTTGACTTTGCAAACATTGTATTTCGCTTTCCCTCCTCCTCCACATTGCTCACCTATCCATGTTATTAACATCCACTTTCCACAGGTGAATTACCTGTTTCTTACAGGAGGTGCAGCTCTGACGTTTCCCTCCCACTCTTCCATCTGCTAACATTTTTATTTACTCCACAGGTACCACCTACCTTTACTCACAGATGTGAAATAGATTAAAATATTTAGTTAAATTCAGATCTGTTTTTCTCAACTGATACTTAGCTTTGATGTTTTTCATTTCTGTTATAGACCTAAAGAAAGGCTTTTCTGCTCAAAGGCTCTTTGTTTTTTGTGGAGTTTTTTCCCTAACTAAAATAGGTTCTAATAAGATTTGATCTTTCTGTGCAAATGCTGATTTCCTTATGTCCTTAGGCCATCACAGCTACAGTGACACATCTGACATAAACATATTGAGCTCTTTTGGAAAGAGAGTTTATTCTTCTGTGCTGTTTTGTGTAGCTGCATGGTTCCATTACAGAGCTGCACACAACGTACTCCATCAATTGTATGTATGTATGTGTTTTAAATAGGTTTCTGCTGTAGTGTTATAGAATGGGCTTGACCTTTTATTAGAAAGATAGACTGCTACTAGAGGATTTTCCAAACTCATTTCTACAGACAGACATTCCTCTTTGTAGATTTGAGACTTTTCCAGTGAGGACCATCTCCTTACAAAATTACCCATTTGTAGCAAAGACCTCTTCAGTTCATAGAGAACCTTAATATTTTGAGGAACCATCTCTTCCTGAAAACACTGCTTTCCAAGTTGCCCCTCCACTTCTGTAAAAGACTATTCTAATGAGTACTTGACTTAGACTAACGGTCAACTTGCGAAGAGATTAAATGCATTGATCCCTCAAAATATCTCTTAGAATCTAATTTGATTGTCCTGAATTTACTGACCCCTGCAGTGAATTTAGCAGGCATTGCACCATGTCCTGTTCTAGCGTTGATAATGGCTGGGGCTGGCCTCCCCCTGCCTACGTCCGCTTCTAAACTCTGAGTCTTGTAGACCAGACGCCTGTGGAACGACTGGCCAAGAAGTGAATCTGTCCAGTCAGTGGGGTAGTTTGGCGTGTGTATTTATGCGATACCGCATGCGAGCATACCATCTGGATTGGATATATGTTTAGTGATTGTGTGTGGTGTATTTAAGGAGTGACATGTAACAGTCCTCTGGTTGAAGTTGCTGAGTAACGTTGGCCAAAAATACCTTTTCTGTCAGCTGGGTTGTTGAAGTACATGGCTATGGATGTGCCCGCCTGTTCTAGGTAGGAGATTTGAAAGCCCAAGGGTTTATGATGCCATGCTGCTTTCACATTAGTGAACTTGGGCTCAGATCAGTTATTTATCTGTCCTTTTTTGTCTTCTCTCTCGGATCAAAGCTCTCTGTTCAATGTTGTTGGCATGCTTTATTTTAACCTACCTGGCTTTACCTTCCCAGGAGCTCAGAATAGCTTGGCTTAAACCTCAGCTGTTAGAGGTTGAGGGAGTGAGAGAGATCCCTGGCTATATTTCAGCTTTGAAGTAGGAGTAGACAGATTAGCCTCTTTAAGTCAGAGGATAAGAAGAAATGTCAATCTTTCTGTTCCAGAGATGGCAATTCTGATATCTCTGCTGGTGTCTCTCTCATCCCATACTCAGGGCCACAGCATGCCTTTCTCC